CAGTGTTCAACACCGATAATTCGCTGCCGTACAAAGCTTGCAAGAAATGCTTGTTGTCCTGCTTGCATCAGAGTGCAGCCACTGAAGGTTGACAGTTAACCTGGGCGTCGTGGTTTGAATTTCGACTTCGAGATACCTCAGGACTTCGGCGCCGGGTGACGCACAGATGTTGCTCCAAAACCTAGGCAAGATGAGCGCAGTCATCCATCCTAAGTGCTGGGTCTACAAGAGGAGAGATGCTAGTGGGGTGGGGAAAGGGGGAAGAAAAAAATATGAAAAAGAAAGAGGGGAGGTGTCAGGAGTAGCATGTTTCCGCTAACACGCTCCGCTATATGCAGCGAGTAAGGCGGCCCGGCTGATAGCACCACGCGACGTCCGATTTGTCCTGACTTTATTTGTATATGTGCCGTCCATGGTTGTTGGTGGGCGCCCACACCAAGACAGGTGGACGATTAGGGTCCTCAACCAAAGCCTTTGGTTCGAAAGCCTGACAATGAGGCAGTTGTGTTTGGTAGGAAACACAAATACAGTACCACACATGTTCCACCCCCAACCTCTAGGACCAGAAAACTGTGTTGGTCAGACCTCTAACCAGTGACCTACCTGGTATGAGACACTGCGCAAGTTTCGCGCGGCCGCCCCTCCCCTCGTATTCACACCAAGAATTTACAGGCGAAAATGATATCATTCAATATGATCAGCTATTGTGCAGTAGCTATAAAGGAAGTATTTCTTACAACTGTAGTGTAATTTCGGGTGCCACAGTTCACAATAGACAACATTCATGCAGGTATACCGCATAAGAACTGATATGGTATATTTGCCTAGCAAAATCAGCATACTTTGCCCACAAATTTGAGCAAGATAGACTAGGAATTGAACGAAACTGTAAGCATATCACTGAGGGCAATTAGTGTCTCACACAATAACTTTAGTGTCGCATTCCTTTAGTTCAACCCCCATAGAATCAGTCCAGTGTCGTTTCAAGCGACTAACTCAAGCCAATTAGGGCAGGCGTCAATCGGGTTGTATTCGCTTGTGCTTGAGACAAATTCCAGTTACTGGATAATCCGTCTACTCTGAACGGACTCACCTCCTAATCAAATAAACTGTGGGAACTGCGTGAGCCACATTTGAAGGAATGATGCTAGACGAGCGAGCTTCCACCGCACCTACTGCTGAATGTGATGACCCAATTATGCACTGCTTGATTAGTCTGTCACATAACGAGTTACAGTGGCAAGTGATCAATATTGGTTTCATCTCAACTGACCTCAAATATTCTCAGGTCAACGTTTGCTGAGACATTCCATTCACTCAATCATCGGCCCTACGATTGTATCAGAAGCACTTGCAGTGAAATTGAAGCCAAGATCAGGCAAGGGCCAGTTCATTTGCATTCTTTGGTCCCATAGGGATTAAAAATAAGACAGCAACATCTTCGAAACTTGGTTTACATTTAGAAGAATCCATATCCGTTTTACGTAAAGCTGCTTTGTGTTATATCTGCTGATTGGCCGACCAGCTACTAACCCGCTCCAGCGATTAATGCCGGAAAAAAGACTCACAGAAGGGAACACAACAGCTATATTCCGAACAAGCGAGTAAGTGCGTGCGAGAGCAAAAGTTACAACGGCCTCACGCTATTTAAAGGGGACTTCCTGACATTGATCCAGGCTGTCTGGTAGGCGTTAATGAACGCCCGTCAAAATCGATCGTGCCTCTATGAAAAGCCTGAACGCTGATCATATTCGGTCGTGCTTCTGTGGCGTGCAAGATCATTCATCAGGTTTTGCTCAATTGATTGAATGATTGACTGACCTGGATGCTTTCCGGCTTTCCTGTTGGGATTTTGGTGGAGAATTAGGTTCCGGGCGTTGTGCTGTTACTTTCAGGAATCTGACCTCCCTGATACTTTGTAAGAAGACAACAAAACGGCTGACTGGTTCGAATGTTGAGTGAGAAAATCAATAGGTGTTTTATCAGATTCACCTCCAGAGTACAGCAAATTAGCATTTTTGGCCTTGCACGTGAATTTACCATGTTTGGATTGTCGGGAGCCCAGCAGTCTGAAGAAATAAAGATGTGTACTCATTTTCCCATTTACAGACAAACCAGAGAGTATTTTCGGACAGAACACAATGAGCGTTATGTTGATGAAATCTTATGAGTAATACGTTACATCCGAGTACCTTGAGTATCCTGCCAACCGAAACATGAGGTGTTCATTCAGCTAAACAATATCATCAAATGTAACCTCGTTTGGACCTCTCATTAACTCCGTTGTGATTTGAAAGGTAGCATTTTCATCATTGGACAGTTTCCAAGAAAAAGAATACTGTTCTAGGTTTGAACGTGGAAATATCCATTCTATCAGCTTGACAACCAACTGTCTCAATTTTTGTGGGTCAAACCCGTTGAATTTGGTTGCACATTATTTTGGTCAAATCCGAATTCTGTCAGTCCGTCTAGGGGTCATAGATGTCATTGATTAAATGACACCCAGTCTCTAACTGAAACATTTCATGAGTATGTATAGCAGTGCAGGATGAAGAAATATTTCCACCTGCTCAGTTTTGTTTTGACAGGTATGCGTAAGCATTGTTCTTCTGGTATTTTCTGACTTGTAGTCCTACGCGGCAGAGCGATGATTCAGCGGGAAGCTGTACCACCCCAACCGGTTGTAGTCCCCAAACCTGGAACATCATATCCTCCGAGTGAAGTGAATCCTCCACCCTACTGGGAAGGGGCACAGGATGGACAGCCTCCCTATCCCATAGAGGAGCCACCCCCTTACCCAGACATGCTGAGAGGCCCGGTACCAAACAAACCTCCAATGCCTCCGATGTTACCACAGTGAGACGAAACTGCTGTAAGTGCTTTGATAAACAGCGAATTCGTATTGATATCCTAAACGAACAGGATGATTTGTGAGGCCCATGTGAGGCTAACCGATATTCTTTTGTCTTAATCAGAGTGCAGCTTCGGAAATCTGAACTGATCTCATCTGCTGGGTGGCTGATAAGCAAAGGAAAGACGATACTGAGGAAGTGAAAAGCTGAGATTGTCTTGGGTTACCCAAGAAAATCGACAATCACTTTGAGCCGACTAAAAGACAGTTGTCCAACACACCCTTGCTAAAACATGACACCTTTATCCTAACGAATTTTCAACATGGCTGATGCCCGCAGTCACTTTATGGCGGTCACTGTGTACACAGGACAAGTTAAATTTTTCCACAAGCATTAGACATCGAATAGTTGTGGACCACAAATAGGTTAGTCGAGTTCCCAAATACTTTGTAACAGCGGGGCGAGATGGCCCAACTAGTTAGAGCGCGAATTTACCGATCGGAAGGTTCGTGGTCTCTCGAATTCCCCTGTCCAGGCTTGGGCAACTTGGCAGTATCCCAGCCCACGTGCAACCCTCGGGTGGCACGGCAGCTAGGCACCTAAAGAGTGCTAGAGCTGAATGATTATGTTCCATACAGAGAGAAAGAGAGAACGACCACCTCG